AGCGCGATGAACGCTGGGCAATGATGAAGAAGGCAAGAATTCAGCGCGCACCCGGCCGGCTTCGCCATGGCATCACATGCACACTCACTTGTCCGGGAAAGGGAAGAACGCGTCCGAGCTGCAAACGACGCCTTTGAGCTTCTTGGCGTGCTCCTTGCGTTCCTCTTTCGTCAAAGCGTGCGGAACTTCCTCAAACGCATTCTCCCACTCTTTGCGTTCCTGGCTGTCTTTGAAATCTTCATCTTCCAATGCTCCCTCTACGAATAGATCGATCGCATTGGACTTCTCTGGCCTCTTTGTTCCTTTTTTGAACGGCAGTGCGAGGACACGAGGGTGCTGACGCAGCCACCAATTGTCCGCTTTGGAGCCCGCAAGGCGTGTGCAGTGGATGCGGGACTGTTGACCTGCTCCCAGACCGATCACTTGTCCGTTGAGCGCATAGCAAACCGAATTGCTCTGGGTGTATTTGAGCGCCAAAGTAGCCACAATCATGTCCAGCTTTGCCTGCTCCGTCACCGTCTTGTTCTCGCTGACAAGATTCTCAAACAATTGTGGCACGATCTTGATGTCGTTTCTGCGCTGTTGGAGCGTGATACCGTACACTTGCCTAGATTCGACAGAGTCAGGCTCGAACTCGGCATTCACCTGGATCACGCAGTATTTGCCCGCTTTTTTCTTCTGCAGCACTTGCAAAGCTTCAGGAGTGAAGGAAGGCGCAATGACTGCGTCCGAAACTTCTCTGCCAATGATGCGCGCCGTCTGAGCATCGCACTCATGAGAAAGACCAATGACGTCGCCAAAAGAAGACATTCTGTCTGCCCCTCTGGCACGAGCGTAAGCGGATGCCAGCGGCGAGAGCTCTCCGAGATCGTCCACAAAGCAAGCCTTGGCTTCCACCTCGCTCAGAGGCACTCCAATGGCAGCTCCAGCGGGTGAGACGTGCTTGAAAGAGGCAGCGGCGGGAAGGCCAGTAGCTTCCGCGAGCTCCTTGACCAGCGCCCAAGCGTTGAGGCTGTCGAGCAGGTTGATGTAGCCCGGCGAGCCCGAAAGAGCTGAGAGTTGCGCGGCGCTCGGGCGGGTCAGCAAAGCCCTCTGACTTGATTGCTCCACACACCCTCACCTTTGATCGGCAGCTCGCCCCTCTCAACAAATGCCTGAGCCGGCTTTTGATGAGGATTGGCGCCGTACCTCAGAGTGATCTGCTGTGCAGTACCAGAAGAGTTGGGCGTGCCTTGATCACCGGACGAATACTGCTTCCTAAAGTAGTCGCTAATAGCTCGGTCGTAAGAAGCTGTGGCAGTGAATGCCTTAGGTGAGGAGCAAGGCACTCAATCAGCATCATATTCAGCGCAACACTTGCGGATCGCAGCAGCATCGCGCTCACCTTCAACGCTAAAGTGTTTCTGAGCTT